AAAAAAAAAAAAAAAAAAAAAAAAGTGTCCACAGTGCAATAGGAAGTGTTCAATGAAGGATGTTAGGAAACTTTTTGCATCACGAATTGTTGCTGCTGATGAAGAATCTCAAAAGGTTTTTCTAAATTCTATGGTTTTGATATTTGCTTTTAAGTTTTAAGGAGGAAGCTAATCTTAATAAGGATTCTGCTTGTTTTACAGAGAATTCAGTCACTTGAAGCTACTTGTGCCTCTCTTGAGACGAAGGTCGGTAGAACCCATCACTTCTTTAAAGTAACTAAATATAAGTTATCTTCTAAATTTGCAGCCTTTTCTTTTAAAAAAAAAGAAGTCAATAAGAACTGAAAAAAAAAAATTATAACTTTTCTCAATAATCTCTTACAAACCCTCTAATTTTTTAAAAAAGTTTCACTATCTTATGATTTGATAGTATTAAATAAAATATTACATTTTCCTATTGTGTGCCTCTAAGAAAAACTCATTTTCTATTGTGCTTTAGTTTGCCTCACTTTCATTAACACTAATCTTAACATATGATGACGTATCTCTTATGTTTGCTCCTTATGGTTTTCAAGCCCTTATATATACTTTCCATTTGGTTTCATTCTTGATCTTTAAACAGTGATGTGTCATTCGTATTTGTTTGCTATGGTCTTCAATGTGTAGAATGCCAATTGGTGTAAAAAAGAAGTTGAATGGAAAAAGAAAGAAACAGACTTGCAGTCAAAAGTTTATGAACTTACCGAGGTACATTTTTAATTGCAAAGTTCCGTAAAATTAACTCCTCTTCATGGGTTGGTTGGCTTGTTAAGTATCTTAGTGTTGATCTGGTCATGGCACCTGCTACATGTTGAGGTGCACTTAGGTTGCTTCCACTTTTATCCTTCTCCGTAGTCTCTCCCTTAAAATTTTTTGTTGGGTTTGGTGTATGCCTCCTTTTATAATGATTTTGACCATTTGCTATTGTGATGCCGTTTTTAAATCGTTTACCAATGTGCTATCTTATACATTTTGTATCAAACTGTTTTCATCGAGTTGTATTTTCAACTTTCAATTTATTGCACCTAGCTTGTGTAGGTGACTAGGTCTAATTTTTGTGGTTGTTTATGCACTTCCATGCCATGAACAATTATGAGATATGCCAACTCAATGATCGAACCATAAACAAAATGCCCCAAGTTTGGGTTTCCAAAGGCCATCATGCCATTGTTTGAATTTACACATCCGAATAGGAGGTTCAAGTGACCTCTTGGGATACATCAAATAGTCGATTCCTTTTGGAACTGCATTTCCACCTTTACGTGTCAAGAAATATGCAACATGCATTTCCATATGCTTTTTTCTTTGTTCTACTGTGCATCCTACACCGATGTCATCACAATCCTTGGATGCTTGGTTCCCATATGGATATTTTTGAGTCTAGCAATGTACCCATACATCTGTGTTAACCAAGAATTTCCTGGCTCGTCTAGAAATTCTGTCTTTATAATTGGTTAACCAATTAACTCACAAAAACCAATTTGGCTGGTCCTGTTCTTGCTTTGTTGGTTCTTGGGTAAGTCTCTTGCTCGGAAGTGATCGAAAATTCTTAGGAGTGGAGTAGGTGGGGAGCAAATTTCTTAAGTTTTGAGAAGAGCAAACTTCCAGCTGCAGACAAAATTACATTATGAGTTCTGAATTAAACCAATAAAATTCTTGGTTTTAAACCAATTTTGTTTTATGTTTGAGTTTTTTTTAAGCTATATTATTAAGTAATTAATATCTAATTTTTTACAGAGGACAAATTATTTGGAGCATTTATTAGAAGATACAAAGAGAAAACATGAAGTAGCCCATCTTGATTGCATCTTTGAGGGGAAATCTGTATCCGGTACTAGCAAAGTTTAGTTAGAGACATCTTCATTCTAGAATTTTTGTTGCTTTAATTTGCATCATGTCCACCTGGAACTCTAAACTCATGATTTTATTGTGATGTTTTTTCATTCCATGTCTTTTGAAATTAAATCTGTAATAATGATGAGGATGGCGTCTTATCCATTGATATATTTTTCAGATCATAACTTTGGCTTAAGGTTTAGTGGACAGGTCTCTTCTTGCGGTTTTATATTAGAGGTATTCTATTGGGGATTCTCAATTTTCTTTTTAGTTTCTACATGCTGTATTTTTTTTTTACGATTTCAAGGAAATGTTATGTTTCTTGTTTTTTAAAATAATAAAGAAGGCTACAGCTGTGATGACTTCATCTTCATTCATGCAATGCCAGTTTATTTTCTGAACTTAAATTTCTATTAATTCTTGAAGTCTGAAATGTGATTGAATGGAGTTGGAAAATATTATTATTTTTCAAATTGCACGTGGAACTATTTTCTTTTACTAAGGGATAGTTTTTGAATACAGAAATCTTATTGAAGGAAGTCATTCTCTTTTTAGGTGGGCAAATAAAAATTGTTTTGTGAAGTTTACCAACTTTGCTTATTTGAAGTTTACGGATTAAGTTGTTATTTCAAAATTCATATTCTAAGAAAGAATTTTAGTCAACAACTGAATGACTTTAAGATTTTGGAAGATAACTGGTGCATAATTGGAGTGGAGACTAAAATTTGTTTAACTCTAATGAGATTTTTCTTTTTAATACATGCTATCTGGAAAGTTTATTGAATCGTCAATTTCCTTTTAAAAGATGTTCACTCATAATCCTGACATCACAGTTTGGTAATTTAGAAAGAGCTGCTGGTGGATGGTGCTCGTTCAATTGATGTAGATTCCTCTAATCAAGTTGTTTTGGTTGCAAGAAGGCAGCCTGGGTTTGGTGGAACACATGTAATTACTAAGGTATGGCTTCTGATTTTTTTTCATGAACTCAACTTTTGTAGGCATTTTAGTATTGAAACCAATGTTCTGTTTCTTTTTGTAAATATAACTTCTTCAGATAAGCTTAATGTCTCCCTATGAAAGGGAAGATATAAGAATTCCTTTTTGTACTAATGCTGTAAAGGACTTGCACATTTCTCCGGCTGCCAGAAACCTTGTGCTTTATTCTTCGTTAGGGAAGAAATTAGCTGTTCTCAGGTAAATCAGGTGCTATATCTTTGAAATTGAATATATGGTTTTTTATTCATATTTTTTTCCTCCAAGGCTTACCTACTCTATCAAATCATTGCAGTATGGAGAGCAACAATATCATCCTTGACTATGATTTACCAGTAACGTTCCCATTCTCTTACCTATTTTTTTGTGTTAAAAACTATGAATTAGCTTTTTTTTTAAAAAAGTTCCAATATATCAGTTTCTCAACTTCTATAAAGGAGTAAAATATTACATCGGAGAACAACCCAACAGTTTCCCCTTTAAGAATGGATTGTAGATGAAGAATAAGTCCTAGAATCTTTAGTAAGAGTACACCAAAAATACAGATTATTTTATTATTATTACTGCATAAGCTTACTTACGGGAATTTAAGATTATATGCGAATACAACTCTTGGCCCTTTTGTATGTTCCTACTTGTTATACTGTTTAAATGTTTGTAATGTCCACTCACACAATTTTTAATTTTACTTTTAGAGAGTCTGGTATCTGAATTAAATGGAAGTTTTTTATTTTTGCAATTCATTTTAGGGTTTATAAATGAAACAACATGACTTTAAGAATGTTGCTTGGTCGTGTTCATGGGATCTTTGTTAGATTATGTCTCTGTTTGGTTTGAAGTCTATTATATAGTCCATATCAAGCTCTTAAGTCTCACCTCAATCTCTTCGTTGTATTTTGAACTTTTATTGAGTCTGATCCTGGTATCATACTTAAAAGCGTATGTTATTGTTTGTAGTGATGTGAATTAAAAGGACACTTTTTGCAATTGATTTTAGGGTTTATACATGAAACAGCCCAATTCGTGGGACATCGGCCCTCTTGTAAAAAGAAAAAAAAAGAAGAGAGAGACAGCACAACTATAAGGATGTTGCTTGGTCATGTTCATGGGATCTTTGTTTGATTTTAAGTCTGTAATATAGTGTTATAGTCTGTATGAAGTCTTTAAGTCTCACTATGTTTTGTTTAAATCAATGCTCATATCTTCAGGATGCTGCTTGGTCGTGTTCATGGGATCAGAATAGTTCACACTATGTTTATGCTGGATTAAAGGTCAGTCCAAACATTCCTAGACAATTATGAAGTTTTCATTGAGTTTACGATGGGTTATTAAAAAATTTCCTCCCTTTCAGAATGGTTCGCTCATGATGTTTGATATGCGCCAAACTGTGGGTCCCTTGAAAACCTTGCAAGGCATAACGAGCAATCCAGTCCATACAATACATTCTCTTTCAAATAATTTGACTCTTTCTAATGATGTAAAATCTGTTCTGTCTGCTTCTGCATATGGCGTATGCCAATGGAACTTCGATGCCTCAGAAGAAGGGTAAGCTGATGTGCTATGAATCCATGCTCTGTGCTTACTTGCCCTTGCAGTTTTCTTTTTATGTTGCTTCTTTGTTGATCGGTAGAACTGAAATATTTGCTTCATTTTTCACCATGCTTTATAACATAATGTTTGAAGTAACCATATCATAAAAGGTTATTACAAGTCTAGTTCTTGAACTTTAATATCTTTGTTTTTTTGGTCCTTAACTCCAAAAAAATGTCTAATAGGACACTTTTTAAAATTCAAGGACTAACTTGTAATTAAATCTAATTATCGTGTCATTTACTATTGCATTTATGGTATGTTGGATATCTTCTCATATCTTACTTGAGCTATTCTTTATTCATCAATTCCTTTCATGGACATTTTAAAAAAAAAATCAATTCCTTACATGGAAATGTAATGCAACACTATCCTATATAAACTGTCTTTGCTATTAGTACCACCTTAATTCCTTGGGGGGAAAGAGGGAAGGCTGTTTACTAGTTTGAAGGCCATTTTTAACCTGTCATAAAATTATCACGTCCCTTACTATACCACATGTTCTAATATTTTCTACAAATGTGCCACACTTTGAAGGCCATTTTTAGTTCCAGAAACAAATCAAGGAGTTTGTACATCTCTGGCCTATTGCTCGAGCCGAGACGAAATTGTTGCTTCATATCGTCCCAAAGTTGGAATGTCAAGTGAAATACCTTATTCTCAGATTTCACCTTCTCCTTCCCACACTGCTGGGCATAGAGTTGATGGGTGCCACATGGCATTCAAGAAAGAAGAAAATTTCCAAAAATTTTCAAAGTTGGGTTCTGCACGTGCCAATATAGATGCAATACGCCTGCCGAAATCTACTCTCATAGACTTACAAGACTGCAGTAGTTTGTTTGTATTCGGAGATGCAGTAATGAACGAATTGATCCTGCAGGAACTGCCTTCTTTTAGGTCTTTTCAGCATCTTAAAGTACATAAGCATCCTGTTCGTGACGTTAAGTATTCGTATGGCTTCGGTAGAGGATTGCTTAGCTGTTTAAGTGATGATACTCTGCAACTTTTATGCACCAATGGCTCATGAATCAGTAAGTTGAATTTATGGTTTAGCTTTTTTCATCCGATATGGTTTATATGCTATACTGTCATCAATATTACATACTTCCAAGTATCGGTTAGATGCCCTCTTTTTTCTTCCTTTTTGAGATTCATCTGAATTCTTCTTGCTATGGCTGAACTGTGATTTTGGCTTTAAAGAGAGCTTGGAACTTGTGAGGAGGCTTGATCATTTGTTAGGTTTAATGCTTACATTTGGGCATAAGATTTTTGTTATTACCCGCCAAGCTTTGTTGTCCTAGATTTGTCTAGTTTGTTTATTGGTTCTTTTGAGTAGGCTGCTGACTCTTTTCTTAGTTCGATCGTCACCTTTAGGGAGGTAAGTTATGGCTTACCAACTAAGCCAAAGAGTTACAAAAAGGACTCTCAATTGGCCATAATATGGACAGGATCATAACTACAAAAGGAATTAGAGAGAGAACCATATTGAGGTTCCACAATGAAACCATAATGGTAGACAAACACAAAATTCTAGCTTTATTCCTGCATGGTGTTCCAAAAAAGAGCTGTCTTGTTTCATTTTTCTCGACAAAAGCTTAGTTTTCCCTAAAAATTATTTAGCAGTTCAACTTTTTAAAGTACTAACTCCTCCTTTTGTGTCACTGAATGTAGGTTATTATTTTACTCGGACTTGTTCTAAGTTGAGACATGTAACTAGGTAACTGATAAAAGAGTTCGACAATCAGGCGTTCAAGACGAAGACGAAGACGCGTTTAATTCATAATTTGGGCTCTGCAACACTTCCAAAAGCACAAAAATCATTGATCCAAATTCAAAATAATCCCACCAAGAGTGGATTTTCTCCAAAACTTTTAAGTGACAGTTTGAACGGCATCTCTTTAGCTTCTTTACCTTCAAATGGTGACATCCGGCGAACAATTATTCTCTTTTGGGTGAAGAATAACATTGGCAGCTGCAGGGACAGAGTTAAGATCCTCATATTGGAACCTGCAGTTGTGATTTGTGAAGGTATCCAATTGCTTTAACTCATAGAGACAAATAATAACCTTAGGAATCACTTAATGTTGACAAAATTGTGAAGAATCCCAAGGGTTATCTGATTGAGTTTATTATTATGTTTTCCAATTTCTCTAATCCTCAATGATTTCATTGTATTTGATAGAGTAATGGACACAATAGGTTATGTCTATTACTATATGTAACTCTTGACACTTATTTGATGGGTTATATATGCAATAATGAATGTATCTATTGTTTTGTTGTTCTAATTAGACCTTCTTAGGTATCGTATATATTTCAACAATGTTATATCTCATATATATTTAATATGCTAACGATAATTTATTGAACAAATCTTCAAGGATATCTTACACATCGTGTACGAAATAAACAGATCATTTGAATCGAAATTAGAGATGTCTATGGGGCAAGGAGGAGATGGAAAAGTCTTCCCTATCTCCATTCTAGCCATCTGATCGCTTAAAAATGAGGGGATTCCTAAGTTTTCATTTTTCTATAGAAATTTTATCATAAAATTATTAATAAATCCATCTAAATAAAAATATATATAATAATCAACAATTTTAATATTATAATAATCTTTTAACCATTTGAAAAATATAAAATATAGTTTTAAATTTAAATTCAAGATGAGAAGGAGAAGAAGGAAAATAATGGATAACGCAAGCTAGAAAAAGAGAGATTGAATTCTCTTCGCCAATCAAATTTGGAATCAGTAGCCGCCGTACACCCAAAAGCGGATGGAAGACAAGGAGAAGAAGGGGCTAGAAGGCGCTGGTTTGGATCCTACAGTCAGTCGCCATGGCAACTTGAAGAGTGCTTCAAGCGATCAAGATTTCAAGGATGTTCTTCTTCAAATCAAGTCCTCAAAAACCACTGTAAAATTCGTAATCCCTCATCAATTTTGTTTCCCGCTGCCCTAAATTGGCATCCTCGTATTATTTCTTGGCCTGGAAAACTGTGTTAGCATCAACGGGATGAAGCTTCTCTGTTATGGGGTTTTCGATCCCCTTTGTTCTGTCGCTAGTTTTTGGAATATTGATTGTTTGATTCTGTTCATTTAATGATTTGCAGGCAGTTATCAATTATGGTGCATCCTGGTAAGTCCAAACTTTTCTTTAGCGGATTGAACGCAAGGTGTTTGAGTATATGCCTGTGTGATAACTAGGTCGTATCATTAGAATCAGAAATGTTTCTCTCTAAACATAGGCGATTGGTTCATTTCATAAGAGATGAATTAAACTGAGTTACAATTTTCATTTCACCATGAATCACTGTTCTTGGCAATACTTCCATAATGGGGGTTGTAAAAATTGGTCTGGTTCACACTGAATGACAAGAGCGATGACTTAGATTATTGGATTGATGTTAAAAAAAACTAACCAACAAAGCTCTGCATTACCATTGCAGAGAGATGGTTGATAGAATCTGGTACTACTCGGTTTCTTGTTTTATGGCCTCGACGATTGGTTTGCTGATATTAAAACCTGCAGGAGGCTTAAAGGGCTTATGGATTGGTTTGTTGATATTAGAACCTGCAGGGCTTAAAGGGATTGTTATTTTTCGTTTCAGGTGTCGTGTATGCAGTCAAATTCTTCCAGCATTCTGTCGCCTGAGTAACAATTTTCCAAAGGTTTCTTTCATCTATGCAGATATTGATGAATGTCCAGAAACAACTGAACACATCCGATACACCCCGACATTTCATTTTTATCGCGACGGTGAAAGAGTAGACGAGATGTTTGGTACTGGGGAAGAACGACTGCACGACCGGTTGTGGTTGCATTCCTAAAGCCAGGTTAGATTAACCACCACATCATCATCATTTGTCATCATCAGTTATGAGGATGAGGAATACACACCGTAGTTAGGTTGGTAATGGCTCTGTTTTGGTATTTGGTTCAGAAATTGAGCTCATTTCTGTATCCATCTCATTCTCTTTATAAACAAGATCATTTCTAGTAAGCATTTCATTTTATCCTCTTATGAAGTCATGTAGATTGTTCTTAAAGGTAGATTTACAATGGATACTCGGTTTCTTTTGACATCTAAATCACTAGTGTCAAGTGGGAAAATGCATTTTTTAGGTGAATTTGAAGCACAACTTGTTCACGATCACCTCGAGAGTTGAAAGTCGATATAAAAGAATAACAACATTGTAAAATCCAAGGCAGTCACAGCACAGTTGGATCTGGAAGCAACAGTTTATAATAAGGGTAGATTTTTTACTAAATGAAAAGAATAAAGAATAGAGGATTCGAGTTGTACAAACTCGGGACAAGACGTCCTGAGCTAATCAGAGAGCAGGCAAATCTAGCCACACTTCTCTATTGGGTATACAAAAACACAAACAAATGTGTATGAAAAAAGCTACTTTATTTTTCCTGCAAGCACACTGATGGTTGTGATCATCGCTTGCATACATTATATTGAGCCAATCAGGCATTTGGCTTGAGAAGCTTTACAGTTTCCCAGGTGAAATCTGGGTCGTCACGGCCGAAATGACCATAAGCAGCCGTCTTCTGGTACCTTGAGTTTCCTCCTCGCTTCAAGTCGAGATTGATTGCAATCATTCCAGGCCTAAAGTCAAAATTCTCCTTAATCAGGACAAGGATATCCTTATCTGGGATCTTTCCTGTTTTGTAGGTGTCTACAAAGACTGACAGGGGCTCAGCTACTCCTATTGCATAAGAAACCTGCACGATACAGCGACGAGCGAGTCCTGAAGCAACTACACTCTTTGCTGCTTGCCTAACAATATAGGCACCACTTCTATCTACCTTCGTTGGATCCTTCCCTGAGAAGGCACCACCACCATGAGCGCCCCACCCTCCATAGGTATCAATGATAATCTTCCTTCCAGTCAGTCCTGCATCACCATGAGGTCCTCCAATGACGAACCGACCAGATGGGTTGAGATGGAAGATAGTATTGTTGTCGAGATACTTTGCAGGAATGACAGGTTTTATGACATGTTCTTTCAGATCTTTAGCAATCTGTTCGTTTGTAACAGTTTCGTCATGCTGGGTTGAGATTAGAACAGTATGGACCCTAGCAGGGACCATAGCTCTATTCTCATTCTTGTACTCGACGGTCACTTGCGTCTTACCATCGGGCCGAAGCCATGGGCAGGTTCGGTTCTTCCTGACCTCAGTGAGCTTGGCACCAAGTTGTGTAGCAAGGACATGGGTGAGTGGCATGAGCTCTGGGGTTTCATCAGTGGCATAACCGAACATGTGGCCTTGATCACCAGCTCCTATCTCCTCAGGTTTCTTGGTCATGTGTCCATGGACTCCTTGGGCAATGTCAGGGCTCTGTTGTTCTATATTCACCAGGACCTTGCAGTTGTCGCAATCCAGACCGACATCAGCAGAGATGAATCCAATTCCTCTGCAAGTGTCTCGAACTATTTTCTCGTAGTTGACGTTGGCCTTGGTCGTGATCTCACCAAACACCATGACCATGTTGGTTTTGGTGCAGGTCTCACAAGCGACCTTGCTCTCGGGATCTTGTTCAAGGCACGCATCGAGGATAGCATCAGATACTTGGTCACAAATCTTGTCAGGATGGCCTCATTGACAGACTCAGAAGTGAAGAGGAAGGTATCCATTGTAGACTGGCATAAACAGTGACGAAGAATTGATTTCCAACATAAACAGAATCAACATTACATTGAAAGGAATGTAAACAGAATCAATATTACATAAATAATCTACGATGAATCTTAACAAACCGTTGTATTAGATGAACTCTGGTTCAAAAGGGATCGAAAAGAGCGAAATAGATCAACTATTAGCATTAAAATCTCGAAGACAAGAACAAATTCTGAATCAAAGACAACAATAACAAAGGAAGATTGAGTCACTAAACAAGAGCAATAACAATTGGTATGATATTGTCTACTTTGAGCATAAGCTCTCGTGACTTTCAAAAGTCTCATGTCAATGGAGAGTTATAAACCCTTTCTCCAAAAAGTCTCAGGTCAATAAGGAGAATATTTCTTGATTATAAACTCATAATCATTTCTAATATAGCCTAGCTTGGGACTTTCATCCAAGAATAACAAAGGTAGATTGAGTCACTAAATAAGAACAATAAAGAAAAGGATCGGAATAGAAATGAGAAGAGAACAGAAATAACTGCGAATTGAAGAAGTAAACCCCGGAGGAAATGGAAGCGAGTTGGGAAGAAAGGAGGAGGAAGTTGAGGGAACAATGGAGTACGAAGATTTTTATTGATAAATCGAAGGGACAAAGTGGGGCTTTGAAGCAAAATGCCGAACGGAGACCCGCTCCTCTCCTCCCTCGCAATTTAACCCCACCATCTCCAATCTTCATTTTTTTTTTTTTTTTTTTTTTCCAACAAAATTAAAAACACTTTTTTTAAAAAAAATAAAAAAAGAAATTATAATCAGGTGGGAAATTGACTTTGGGAGGAAAATTAAAAAATAGAATCTAGTTCATATCGTATAATAAAATACAATTTAGCCTCAAATAAAAATTTTAAATTTAATTTTTTTAAAAAAAAACATGACTTTTTATATTGGTTTTCTTTTCCCGAAAACAATTTCCTTGGTAATTATAATTCAAAGGAAGTTGATTTGTTAATTATCTTGGACAGAAAGATATATTTTGTAAATGAGTGATTTTTTGAACATCTTCATTTTTTAATATAGTAAACAAATAGATATAGGATTTATAAATTTTCAACTTTTTAACACAAAAAAAAATAAAATAAAATAATGAGTAATAATAATTATTAAGTAAAGGGTATGTTCAAAATTATGAAATTATCACAAAATAGTCCAAAATGATTCTCTAATTTAGAGACTTTTTAAGAGAGTAAACCTGATGTCCAACCCCGTTTGAAGGAAAAATTCAAAGACAATATTTGCTAGTAATGAACATGGGCTATTACAAAAGATATTAGAGCTAGGCACCGAATGGTGTTGTCAAGGGAGGGTAGATTGTGAGATCTCACGTCGATCGAACGAAACAAAACATTTCTTATAAGTGTGTGAATCTCCCTAATAGACACGTTTTAAAACTGTTAGGCCAACGACGATACATAGCAGACAAAAACGAACAATATCGACTAACAATGAGCTTAAATTATTGCAATAAGATACGTATAAAAATGTGATATCATGGACATATGAAAAAAGTGAATAGAATTTGAATTGAAAATGTAAATTTATCATTTTAAATAAATAAATAAATAAAATAGAACAAAAAAAGTGTAGTTAATTAATACTCAATTTGGGTGGAGATGGTGAGATCATACAAGTTTAGCCATCAAATTAGTCCATGGATCTAAACCATTAAAACTTGGAAAAAATGTTTATACAATCTTCACTTTATTGGCTGTTGAACCCTGGATGAATTTTATACTATCAGCCTGTTTTGCTCCTTCCCCCCCTCATATTCCAGTATCTCGCTTTCTAGAGAGAAATTTTGAGAGAGATTTAAGAGAAATAATAGTCCTTTACAGTACAACAACATCAAGGGAGGATTGACCAAGTTCAAACCTTCGATCTCAAAACACGTAGTGTAGCCTAGCCATCTTTATCTACTAAGTTATACTCAAATTGAGAGGAGCGATAAAGTTGAGAGAAGTCTTTCCCACATATCTGGCCTCCCCACTTAAAACATATTTTTGTCTTCAATGTCAAACTTTAATTTTCCTAAACTAAACCGATCTTTGTAGTAGTAGTTCTTCTATGTGAACGCACCACCATTCACGCCTAAACTGACCTACATCGCTACCTAATATACAATTCCTTACAAAGCGAGTAATGCATATGAACGCATGTATATATTGGGAATAGGACAACTACCCAACTCTACTAATTCTAACTAGGTGGCCACCATGACATAAAATGATTCCCTCTAAGCCTTTTATTATTTTCGACTCTTCATGACCATAGGAAGAGTCATTCACTGTAAACCTTTTACTATTAACACGGCTCTCCATGATCACTAAGAAGAGCCATGGGGTTATATTAGGTAAGAATGTAACATAACACAAAACTAGGAAGCTGGTGTGAAATAAGAAGCTAAAATTGATTCATAAAACGAACTCTGCAAATACAATACATGGGCATAAAATGTATGATAAAATTGATCCTTTTGGTTAAACAAGAAACAAACCTCATTCTAAGCTCTCTACAACACCAAAAATGATTTAAGTTGTGTGATAAGCTCACATTGCCATAAGCTTTGGACCATTATCAGGCATGCCCATCCCAGCAGCTAAATCGGCGTCCAGTTGCGTGTGGGGTGCAGGACCCATCATAAGTTTTACCCTGCACCATTGTCGTTGTGGATAGTAACATTGTTAACAATTGCAAATCAAATGCTCTTCTCTAATACAATCATACCAACTTCATATCTTACAATCAAATGAATGTAATCAGAGTCACAAACACATGTGCCATATCTATAACATATTAAGAAAGGATCGAGAGAGGAAACTTAAGAAATTAAGGCCCCGTTGATCACTTTTTTGTTTTCGAAAATTGAATTTGTAAACGCTACTTCTATTGATGGGTATCATTGTTTCGTTATCTACTTTCCACATATATTTTCCAAATCCAAGTCAAATTTTGAAAACAACCTTAGTTTTCATAAACCAAAATCCAAATGGTTATCAAGCAAGGCGTAAGGTAGTTCATTCCATTTTTAAAAATTAAGTTATAATTTTACCTACACACCAATAGAGAGAGAACAATTCATTACGTGAAATTGTCTACAGATTCACTAAGCAAAAAATAAAAGCGAATTAACAACGTAACAAAATGAAGCAAGAGCAAGTGAAAATTGGCATAGCTTACCGCTTCCTGTGGCGCTTGGTCTTGAAATGTTCATCCCTCACAGATACATTCGCAAAGTACCGGCTGAAACCACCAATCATGAATACAAATATTATAGAACTCCAACCGCCATCAGTAATTAAATCAAAATTCGTAAGCCCCAACCCACTACACTGTTTTTCCCATTCCACTAATCCCTTATAAGTAGTAAACCTCAAAATTTATTTCTGAATTTC